GATGCTCCCAGTTTTGGGTTATTATGAACAGTGCTGCTGTGAACACCCATGCTCGGGTCTCCTGGGCGCACATGAGACTTTCTTTAGGGATGTGCCCTAGTGGAACTGCTGGGCTATGGGGTGTGTGCATCCTTAGCTTTACTCATGTCAGGTTGTTTTCCAAGTGGTTGTTCCAAGGTACCAGCCTCCTCCCATGCATAGCATTCCATTGCCCTGTGTCTTTCTAGCACTTGGTTAATAGAACAGGCTGCCTGCTCTCCTAATGCAGCTGCCTCTGCCTGAGAGCCCTTCCTACCTCCTCCACCTGCTCATGGTGCTTTGGCTTTTAGCTGAGAAGCCTTTCCTGGCCCTCTGAGGCCAGACTGGTGCCCCTCCTTGGGCTCCACAGCACCCTGACCTCTCCCCAGCACACTGCCACGTGAAGTGGGAGATAGCCACTGCCTTATCTGTCTCCCTCCTGCTCTGAGGGGCCCTTGATGGCAAGGCCACATTGTGTCACCGCTGCCTCTCTGGAGTCCAGCATGGGGCCTGCTGCAGAGCCGGTTCTCAGTACATATTTGCTAAATGTTGTCAAGTAAATGAGAGCAAGGCTGGAATCAGTCTGGGGCACATGGGGAGGCTGGGGGTGAGGGAGGCTTGGCAGTGGTGTGGAGGCCGTGGGGTCAGCCTCTAGACCCACANCTGGGGGTGAGGGAGGCTTGGCAGTGGTGTGGAGGCCGTGGGGTCAGCCTCTAGACCCACAAACAAATTATCAGCCTGCTCTGAGGGGGGCTGTGTGCAGCCCCTGAAAGGAGAAGAAGTGGTGAAAACAGAACTCAGGACCTCTGTCCCCTTGTCTGGGGACCCCTTCCACCCGTATGTACAGTGGTCTGGTAGCATCTGGAGTCCAGCATGGGGCCTGCTGCAGAGCCGGTTCTCAGTACATATTTGCTAAATGTTGTCAAGTAAATGAGAGCAAGGCTGGAATCAGTCTGGGGCACATGGGGAGGCTGGGGGTGAGGGAGGCTTGGCAGTGGTGTGGAGGCCGTGGGGTCAGCCTCTAGACCCACAGCCAAACAAATTATCAGCCTGCTCTGAGGGGGGCTGTGTGCAGCCCCTGAAAGGAGAAGAAGTGGTGAAAACAGAACTCAGGACCTCCGTCCCCTTGTCTGGGGACCCCTTCCACCCGTATGTACAGCGGGATGGCAGCGTGATTAAAAGCAGGCTCTGCCACTCACTGGCTGTGTGACCTTAAGCAAGTCCCTGAACCTCTCTGTGTTCTCAGTTGCCTCATCTATAAAATGGGAGAAATAATAGCTCCTACGTCATGGATTGTTATAAAGATTAAACTAAATGAGCTCATACGTGTAAACCACTTAGAACAGTACCTAGCATGTGACAAGCACTATATAAATATTTATTACATAAAAATGAATAAGGATGTGGAGCTGGGATGCCCCCAGTATGACTCCGGGAGATTTTCATTCCCCGGCCGCGTGCATGCACTCTCAAGGGGAGAATCTCTTCCACAGGTCCTTCCTGTTATTCTCGAGCCCTTCATCCTAACTGCTGTCAGAACCTATACAAGCTGAAGTAATAGTGCTTATTCACCTGTGTGCTTAGTTTGCTCTCCCACTAGCCTGTAGGCCCCATGAGGTTAAGGGCCGTGACTGCATGATTGCCTCTGTGACCCCCTGAAAGATGCCATGGGGTGTTGGGCTGGGCACTGTAGAGGTAGCTCTGATGTGACCCTGCTCTGGAGAAGCTGGTGGTCTGGCAGGGTGGGGGCAGGGCTGTGCTCTGCAGAGAGGGACAGTGTGCCAAGAGTCCTCGTGGAGGACTGTTCGGGATGCTGGGGAGGGCAGGTGCTCCACTCTGTCGGAGCCAGCGAACTCAGGGACAGGTCGCCATAACACTGGTGCTGAAGCTCATGTCATTTACTCGGCAGAGGAGGTTTCAAAAGGGGGCACGGCATGGGCAGAGGCTTGGAAGTGTAACACAGAGCAAGGCCTATGTCTGGAATCTGAAGGCGTTCAGAGAGTTCGGAGCAAAAAAGGTGCCCAAGGCAGGTAAGGGGGAGGAGGGGCAGATCACAAAGATCTTCCGTCACCTCTCCCCCAGCCCTGGGCTTTCTCTCTGGCTGGGGGTCCTGGAAAACCAGCCCCTTGAAGGAGACTTTAGGACATTTTGTCCCCTGGGCACATTGTTTAACCACCGTGCAGTGTCTGACAGAGGAGGGTCTGAGAAAAACCAGCTGGCAGCTTGGCACTGTTTGGTGGAAAAACGACAGTGAACTGAGAGGGCTGTGGGTCGACAAATCCAAAGGTTCTGCTACCATGGCAACAGAGTGACAGGGCAACCCTAAAATAAGAGGAGAAAAAGAGGAGCCGCTAGGAAAGGTTCAGAGAGAAACCTCAGCAGATGCTTGCGGGAAGCACAGAGACAGCATATCAGGGCCTTGCCTTAGCCAAGCCGAGTGGCCCCGGGAAGGACCTTCCCCCTTCTCAGACTCAGTTCCCTCACGTACACAGAAAGGTGCTTTTGTGGTACCCCAGGGCTCCTCAGTTTGAGAACCATTGCCCTGGAAGGTCTGGAACATGCTAGGGTTCTAGGCACAGAGCCATCAACAGCAGCAGTACTTACTACAGAGTAGAAGGAAGAAAGGAAAAATCCATGATAGCAAACCATCAGTTACACACATTGGACTACACAAGGTTTAACTCATCTAAATGGTCCAGGGTCTCTTTAAACAGCTCCCCATTTCCATAGTCTGCTGACTTAGGCTGACTCCAGCCCTGCTGGCCTCTGCCTGCCACAGCCGGAGCCTTGAGGACCCCTTTGCACCCTCGGCTCCCACGTTAGCCTAGGGTGGAGGAGGCAGCCATTCAGCCCCCCAGTCCGCCCCTGGGCTCAGCATCCAGACACCTGGGTCTGGTCTCTGCCCACCTGTCCCAACTCCAGACCTTCTCATAAGCTCTGCCCAATTCACCTTGCTCCCCTTCCCTGATATCCTGGGCCCTCGGTCTGCCCATGACCGTAAATTTAGCCCTCATCTGCAGAACGTGAAAACATTTCCTTGCCCTACCCACTTCACAGATCTGTGGTCAATGAACGAAGGTCTAAGGAAAGCCTGTAAAACTGCAGAGAGTTAGCTGTCAGGTGCTGAAGGGCAGGGTAGGATGGTGGGTGACAGCGTGGGTAGCGGTGTTGCCACTCCCTGCTAGGTAACCTCGGGTAAGTCATACAGCTCTCTGGGTTTCTATTTCCTCACCAGTAAAATGGGTTATCAATAGCGCCTCTCTCATAGAGGTGTTGTGAGGTTTAAACAAGTTAACACAGAACACCAACGATCGTCGTCATCATTATTATCATTATCACTTGTTACTGTCATCACCCCAGGCTCTCCCTNCGATCGTCGTCATCATTATTATCATTATCACTTGTTACTGTCATCACCCCAGGCTCTCCCTAGCTCAGGAGCCCAGTTAGACAATGACAGCTCTTTCTAGTGTTGACATCCTGTCTGGATTTCTAAATTCTCGTGGTGGGTCGGGAATTCCCCCAGGATGGAGTGGGGAAGGCAGGTGCTATGTTGCCAGCTGTGTACGGTCAGTGGTGACCAGATGTCACCTCTCCTCTGGAAGCAGCCTGTCTGCCCGAGTGAACTCAGTTCCTGCCTTGTTGGCCCACAGGCACAGCCAGCGCTGGGTCCATCCTCTGCTAGTTCTGGCTGTGCCTGTCTGGAGTCCGCTTCCTCCCAGGATGTAGCAGAAGGCCGTGAGATGAGAGGCACAGTCCCAAGCCTCTCTCCTAAATGGCATTCTGCTCGGATAGCATAACTTCCTACTGGGCCAAGTAAACCCTCTGTCTCAAGATAAATGAGGCTGGGTATCTTATTTGCTGGAAAATCTTCTTGTCTAGAAGGATTAAAAACCTCTGTCCCCAATGCATAAAGTCATCATTTTCAGTTTAGTTTAAGAATTCACACTAACTTCCACAAAAAGATTTCCCTAATAATGCAGTGAGAGAAACGGAGATACTCATTTTCTCAGTAGAGCTTGCTATACCCTATGGAAATTACACCGAATGGTACGCCCAGTCCAGCCTGGTTCCACCCGACAAAGGCATGTTTAACTGTTCTAGGAGAAAGTCAACAAACCTGCAGCTTCCAAAGGGACTCAAACTTCCCTCGTTGACACCATCCCAGGAAGACCAACACGTGTTCAGAGCGAGGCGAATGCAAAGCCATTAAAAATATATTTAACAGAACTTTTATGTAAGTTTCTTTATTCTAACAACAAATATCTGATATCAAATGTGTGAAAAGAAATACAGTCATCCCTCTGTATCCATGGGGGGTTGTTCCAGGACCTCCTGCAGATACCCAAATCCAAGGACGCTCGAGTCTCTGATACGAAATGCTGTAGTGTTTGCACACCACATACCCAATCCTCCCGTACTCTGTAAATCATCTCTAGATTACTCATAATACCTAATTCAGTGTAAACGCTATGAAAATAGTAGTTATGCTGTATTGTTTTGGGAATAACCACAAGAAAAAAAGTCTGTATGTGTTCAGTACAGATACAAATTTTTTTCCAAATATTTTCAATCCACAGTTGGTTGAATGCATGGATGCAGAACCCCCCGGTATGGAGGACCGACTGTATGTACGTTGCTCTTCACTTTGAAGGTCACATGGTAACTAGAAGGAGCTATCAGAATGTTTGTTGTATGTTCGTAGCACTCCTTAGGGGGCTTACTTTAAAGGAGGAATAAAAATGGTCAATGATGGACCCTATAAATGGGGCCTTCTATAATGTGTGTGAATGCACTCTTAAACAGCCCAACATTTCCCCTTAATTCTGCATATATTAATATTAATATTAAATTCTTTCAGGCTACCTTATATTTGGCCTTCCTGAAATATTATGTATCTCCAACGGAAGGAAATGGAATTAATGAGGTGCTCCTGATGGGGAACTGGACCCCTGAGTGTCCTGAGGGCATGGGGGGCTTACCTCCATGCTGTACCTCTCCACTGTCCTTCGCAGCGGGTCCACAGCCTGCCAGCAAATCAGGATGCACAGGTCAATCAGCAGCATGCCCCCAACGATCACAAGTAGTTTCTGGTCCTTGATGATCTGCAGAGAGGGAAGGAGCAGAGGCGCGTGGATGTGAGAGGGAGCTTTCCAGGCAGCAGCTGGAGCGTCAGGTCGGGGAGTGATCACACCATGCACCCCCAGCTTGAGAGTCTCCTGAGACTCTCCACACCCACAGGATGGATCCAGCCAAGCTCCTTTGCTTGGCATCTAAGACCTTTCACAAGTTTGGCTGGCCACTCCCCAAACACCCATGTGCACTTTGTTGAAGTTTGACCACTCTTAGTCTGTGGCCGAGCTGTGATTTGCACCCTCCAGGTCTTTGTAGGTGCTGGTTCTTTTGTCTGAAACATGCTCTTATTTCTGTCTGGCAAAATTTAATAATCCTTAAAGTCCCCGATCAATTGTCACCTCCTCCACAAAGTCCACTCTAACTCCCCCAACAGAACTAACTACTCCCATACCACGATGGAAGTAATCAGTCCACATAATTATCAGGAGTAATCAGTAGTAACAACATGGAGAAGAACAACTAACACTCAATGAGCACTTACTCTGTGCCTACCGCTGGGCTGATGACTTTACGTGCATTGTCTCCTAAAGGCAGATACTATCATTATTTCCATTTTACCGATGAAGAAACTGAGGCTTGTAGGGGGGGCTAAGTCACTTGCTCAGGTAATAAAGCTAATAAGAGATGAAGCCCAGATTTGAACCACATTCCTCCTTTCTCCAGAGTTCACACCCTCAAACATTTACAGCACAGACTAGACGCTATATTAAGTCGTACACACGTCCACCTTCTTCAGTAAACCAGGCAACCCTGGAAAGGAGGGAAGCCCATTTTACTTACCTGTGTACCCTCAGCATTTAGCAGGGCCTGGCATGCAGTGGGTACATAAAAGTTTGGTGGATTGAATTGAGATAAAGGAATATAAAAAGAGAAATACAACTCCCATCCCTCTTTGCAGCCTGAGATATTTTTATATTGCTGGGAGATTCCCTCTCCATTTTATATCTGTTTGATAGGAATTGGCATGGGGACAAATGCTATCAGCACCAAAGCTGACCCGTATTTCACTCACTGCATGTTTATATGTCCTCACCTCCCCACAGCACCACAAACAAAAGCTAATGTGATGAAGTAATTCTGGAAAAGACGCATGGAAAAATAAATAAAACTGAGGCAGAAGCTTCAGAAATATCACCAGGTCTGGCTTTGAATGATTAAAGCCATTTTTAAAGGAGAAAAAGAAACTCAAGAGGCCTGTCTGTGGTCGAACATGAAAAGAAGAGGAAAGAGCTGCTGAGTTGTTGCCAAAGAGATCAAATCCAGCAAAACTTCTTTATCTGGGGGCAGGGCACTGGCAAAGCCCCTTCTTTGAGATTGTCAGTAAGGATCCAGTGAACTGCTGATGCTTTGCAGAAACCTGGCTTAACCCTCTCCCTCTGGGGAACTAGGCAACTTCCTGCTAGCCTTGAGAAACTGGGGCAAAAGGAAGAAATGCCTGAGGAGCTTAGGAGTGGGAGGACAGGCTGGAAGGGGCCTCTCTGCATGAGGCTGAACACAGGGCTGTTTGAGCCCCAGGCGTTTGCCCATGCTGTGCCTGACCCTTAGAAGGTCCTCCCCCACCTTTCTGCTGCCACATTCCTACCCTGATTTCATGATCGAGCTCAAGCAGCTTCTCCTCTGTGAATCCAGGCATGCCCTGCATGGAGTACAGATGACCTTAAAAGACAAGTACCAGAATTTCTCTCTCATAAATGTGATAAAGTAAGGTCCTTCCAATTTTAAGGCTCAAGTATGAAGTTTGAGGGAGTATGGAGCAGCAGAATTTGGAAGGATCTGGAATTACATGGACCTGGGTTAGAATCCTGGCTCCATTCCTTGCTACCCATGTGACCATGGAAAGATCACTTCCTCTCTCTCATTTTGCATTTCTCATTTGTAAAATGGCCAGGGGCAGAGGGAGGAGGAGGGCAGGGAGGCTCACGCGTTATTCTCTAAGTATGGTATAAAGAAAAGATCAATATGGACCACACAAGTATGGTATAAAGGAAAGTTCTGGAATTAGAAGACCTCATTCTAATCTTGGTTCTTGTCAAATGTGATCTTAGGCAAACTGCTTAACTTTGCTAGGCCTCAGTTTCCTTATGTTTAAAGTGGGGCCAGTGATCTTAAGCTGCAGAGTTGGTATAAGAATAAAATGAGATGAGGTGTACAAAGTAATTAGTATAGGGGCACAGAGAAATTCTCCACAAATGGCAGCTGTTTGGCTACGATTACTTGGGTTTTGACAGTTAGTGATTCTGTTTATGTGTAGGACAGTGACATCTAGGGACAGAGTGTAATATTGCACCTCTGCTCTACTAGACACAAGACTAATCATCACACAGATGGATCCATAGTGGGAAGATCCTGAGATTGTGAGGAGAGGACACGTCTAATTCCCTTTTGGCATCATTCCCAAAGCCTGGCACTTGACTAGTGTTTGTGGCTGAATGGATTTAGTAATTAGGATTTAGTTTAGCTCAGTAGTTATGAATCACATTTTGTTCATTAACTGCAGAAATATTTATTCAGTGCCTACCCTGAGTCAGGTTCTGTTCTAGGCACAGGGGATGCAACAGTGGCAAAAACACTGTTCCCTCATGCAGCATGCATTTTAGTGGGAAAGACTAAATATTTGTTTAATAGCAAGTAATTAAACAAATACACCCATGCATATACAAAATATAATGTCGAGGAGAAGTGATTTAAAATAGCTTTAACTAATGAAAACTGAGGGAAAGAAAGAAAAAAACAGCACTGACCTGACCATACAAATCTGAGCACAAGGGAATCTGTGCACCAGGCAAGGCCATCTCTCTCACCTCAGCATCTCTGACTTCCTGCCCTCTTTTATTTTATTTTATTTTATTTTTTTTATTTTATTATTTTTTTTTCCTTTTTGTCTTTTTTCGTGTCTGGCAACGGATCGCAACCCTCGGTGCTGCGCCCGCACTTCGCTCAGCCAGTGAGCGGGAACCGGTCTGTATGTGGGATCTGAACCCTCGGCGGGAGCGCCACCACGCTCCCAAGCGGCGCACTGTAGCAGTGCACCACCGGGTCGGCCCCTTCCTGCCCTCTTTTTCAGTTTCTCCTTAAAAAATGCCTGAACTACTCTCTAGGTTATGTCAGCACAGACTGATGCCTTTGTAGGCTGTCCTCTTTCTGAGGCTAGGAGGTTACTAGTGCTGCACTCTCACTGAGTGAGAGATGGGAGTGAAGGCCCCAGTAATGGTTAAGCACCTGGTTCTGGAATCAGATGTGAGTTTGAAATGAGCTTTCTAGTTGCGTGGTCTTGATAAGTTCCCTAACCCTTCTGAGCCACTGAAGTGGGGACAATAACCACACAAGCCACATTAGATTACTAGAGCCTGGCTTACAGCACCTGTTCCACAGATGTCAGCTATTATTACTTAATGTCACCTCCCATTGCTGTTTAGAGCAAAGATTAACAAACTACAGATTTGGCCCACTGCCTGTTTTTGTAAATAAAGTTTTATGAGCACACAGCCATGCTCATTTATTTACATATTTGTCTATGGCTGCTTTCATTCTATAAAAGCAGAGTTGAGTAGCTGCGACAGAGACAGCGTAGGCCCCAAAGTCTCAATTATTTACTATCTGGCTTTTTATGGAAAAATTTGGCTGATCCCTGGTTTAGAGAAAAGGGCACTTGTTTATTTCTTCAAAAACTCCAGATGTTTTGACTGATTCCGACTGGCCTCCTACTAGGGCCAACTCGCTGCCTGAGGGAACACCATTCAGGGGGAACACAGTGTGGATGGGGCCCTGGGATCCTGCCTGGCAGTGGCCCTGCCCTCCTGCCGTCACTCAGACGGCTGATGCTTAGAGGTAGCTGCTGAAAACCCNAACAACATGGAGAAGAACAACTAACACTCAATGAGCACTTACTCTGTGCCTACCGCTGGGCTGATGACTTTACGTGCATTGTCTCCTAAAGGCAGATACTATCATTATTTCCATTTTACCGATGAAGAAACTGAGGCTTGTAGGGGGGGCTAAGTCACTTGCTCAGGTAATAAAGCTAATAAGAGATGAAGCCCAGATTTGAACCACATTCCTCCTTTCTCCAGAGTTCACACCCTCAAACATTTACAGCACAGACTAGACGCTATATTAAGTCGTACACACGTCCACCTTCTTCAGTAAACCAGGCAACCCTAAGGCAACCCCGGAAAGGAGGGAAGCCCATTTTACTTACCTGTGTACCCTCAGCATTTAGCAGGGCCTGGCATGCAGTGGGTACATAAAAGTTTGGTGGATTGAATTGAGATAAAGGAATATAAAAAGAGAAATACAACTCCCATCCCTCTTTGCAGCCTGAGATATTTTTATATTGCTGGGAGATTCCCTCTCCATTTTATATCTGTTTGATAGGAATTGGCATGGGGACAAATGCTATCAGCACCAAAGCTGACCCGTATTTCACTCACTGCATGTTTATATGTCCTCACCTCCCCACAGCACCACAAACAAAAGCTAATGTGATGAAGTAATTCTGGAAAAGACGCATGGAAAAATAAATAAAACTGAGGCAGAAGCTTCAGAAATATCACCAGGTCTGGCTTTGAATGATTAAAGCCATTTTTAAAGGAGAAAAAGAAACTCAAGAGGCCTGTCTGTGGTCGAACATGAAAAGAAGAGGAAAGAGCTGCTGAGTTGTTGCCAAAGAGATCAAATCCAGCAAAACTTCTTTATCTGGGGGCAGGGCACTGGCAAAGCCCCTTCTTTGAGATTGTCAGTAAGGATCCAGTGAACTGCTGATGCTTTGCAGAAACCTGGCTTAACCCTCTCCCTCTGGGGAACTAGGCAACTTCCTGCTAGCCTTGAGAAACTGGGGCAAAAAGAAGAAATGCCTGAGGAGCTTAGGAGTGGGAGGACAGGCTGGAAGGGGCCTCTCTGCATGAGGCTGAACACAGGGCTGTTTGAGCCCCAGGCGTTTGCCCATGCTGTGCCTGACCCTTAGAAGGTC